CCTGCGAGAATTTTGTGACACTTTAAATAACAACCAGAAGAATATCAAATTAACATGGGAAATCAACAGTGAATGCATTAACTTTCTTGATTTGAATATTAGAATCATGAATAATAAACTCATCACTAAAACATACTTTAAAGAGGTAGACAGGAATGGTTATATTCCCACGGGAAGTTGTCACTATCCCCCGTGGCTAATGAACATTCCGAAAGGACAATTTGTCCGTTTAAGGAGAAACTGCACTCTAAAGAATGAATACTTGGAACAAAGTAATGTAATAGGTGATAGATTCCTGAAGAAGGGATATACACAAGAATTTATTGAGAAAAATAAGAAGGAGGTAGGAGATATGGATAGGTGTAATTTTCTGAAGGATAGAAATGATAAGAAGAAAGATCAAGACCAGTTGGCTATAATTTTAGATTTTAATTTACATTTTAAAATGGTGGAAGGTATTTTTAAAAAATATTGGCCTCTTTTGAAAGCAGACCCCGTGCTAGGCACTGTTTTATCAGACCGTCCGAAATTTATCTATAGGAAGGCCCCTTCTATAAGGTCGAAAGTAGTAAAAAATGTGATTAATCCACCCAACAAGAAAATTGTGACATTTTTGGATGTGGCTGGTTTTTTTCCGTGTAGGAAGTGTTACGCGTGTAGAGAAACCAAAGGGGCTAATAAGAAAAAATCGTCATTTAAATCGACAGTCACAGGAAATGAGTATAATATTAGTGAATTTATCTCATGTAGAACAGAAGGGGTGGTGTACTGCTTGGAATGTTCTTGTGGTCTTCAGTACGTGGGGAGGATGAAGAGACCCTTGTGGAAGCGATTACGAGAACATGTACAGAAAATTAAGAAGGAATCGGTGAAACACAGTGTACCTAGACATTTTTTGACCCATCATGATAAGGACCCCTCGACGTTAAAATTCTGGGGAATAGAAAAGTATAATGGTCATTGGAGGGGGAGTCATAAAGTAAGGTCCTTGAGTAAATCCGAATCGAAATGGATTTTTGATATGAAGACTCAGGTCCCGAAAGGTTTAAACGTAGACTTTGATTTAAACTGTTTCATTAGTGACTATTAGTGAATATAGAGGTTTACGTGGTAATATCTGGTCTTGTATGCTATATTAATTTATTGCTTTTTAATATTAAAGTTTTATTTATTTATATTTGTCATAAGGTATGACAATTTTATATAGTGATCTGTTTCACGCAAACATTTAGAAGGATTAATATTATGTCTATTAGAGATTTATTTTTGTATTTATTTCTATATCTTAGGAGTATAGGAATATTTATTGATCGGTTTTATTATGGTATTTATTTGTAAACCGATGCTATAAATGAATTCATGGGTATTTTATGGATTATATTGATTTTAGGGAATATTAATAAAAAATTAGGTTTATGGTTATTGTGATGGTATAGTGTAATCTGGAGTGTTTCCAGCAGGGGGAGTGGGAGTATGGAAGACGTTGCCCTTAGTTGTTTTTTATTTTATTTATATCATAATTATTCCCACAGTTTTAGTTTGATTGGCATAATTGTTTATAGAATATATGACATATGATATGGATTGTATTTGTAGTCCTTAGGTGGAGGACTACAAGTGCACCACTGTATAGGGGGAAGTAAGGATTATGTGGCCGGCCCGTTGCTCTGTATCCTCCTTTTAGTCTTTATGGTCACCGCAGTAATGGAAACTATATGAGGACTCCGAGAAAATGGCCGCTCGGGTCCGCCCTCAATGCTGATTGGGGTAGGAGTAGTATTTATAGAATCCAGCCCTCGGTGGGCGTTAACCCTGAGGAAGTCACGTGTTACCGTGACGCAACGCGTCGCTACGCGAGGAGGATTCTGGGAGCGCGGTGACGTAATTTCCGGCGTGGCGGCCATATTTGAAATCCCTGTATCAAAATACCCATGCAGGAGATTTATAGCATGGGGTATTGAAGGCCTGTGAGAAGACGAATATAAATGTGAGTGGGCAATCTTTTTTCATACTTACATCATTAAATAAACAGGTTACACTATGTTAGTCTCTCTTGTTTATTTATGAACCGAGGAGCTGACTGCGGATAGAGTATTAGAGGCGAGGCCCTGGTGAGCTATCTAAGAGGTGTCCTGTTTAAAGCAAGCTGACCCTGTGGGGTCGGGGTAAGGAGGTGAGAGGCCATCACGGCTAAAGTTTGGAGTTACACAGTGTGGTCACGTGTGACACATGCATGAAGATTGAAAAAGAAAAATAGTCTTTTGCTGCATTTGGACAATATATTTATTTTCTGTGGATTTATGTATCAACAGATGGTTGGAGTGATTAATATTTAGCACTAATTTGCACTTTATTTGTATGAATTGTAATACACGGTTTGCACTTTCTTTTTGTATGCACTATTTTGAACATTAATTTATTACCTTGTGGTATTATTTGGAGCACTTGTATTATTAGTGTTGCACTTTATATTTATAAATTATTTAGTACATTTAGAGATAGCGCTGCACTTTTATATATATATATATATATATTCATTTATTCACTTTAGTTGGTAAGGAGTGTTGTGTCAGCAGCTTGGTGAATAGGGCCCCATTCCTAACGCAGGAAGTCCTTGCATTTAAATTTTTTGATATTCTATGGCTTACCGAAACGTAAATGTACACTCCAGACTTCAGCAGTGAACTCCGAAGAAGGAGAGCAACTGCCTCTGCTGAAAAAGTCACGATCTAGTTCAAAAACAGTGATCAGTGATCAAAGTCAGTGATCACTGGTTTTGACTTTAGGTGGAAAAGAGGAGCAACTAAAGTCATAACAAACACTACTGAATATGATTATGGACAAGTGAACTTGAAATTAGATGACTCTGCAGATATTGATGCTGTTGAAGTCTTTGAACAAGCATCTGATTTCAGCACTTTAGTCTCACTCGTTGTGGAGCAAAGTGAGCTTTATATGAAACAGAAGGGCATTCCATTCCAGACAAATGCAGATGAGCTTCGAGCCTTCTTTGGAATATGTCATGTTATGGGGTATCATGTTCTGCCATCGATCAGAGACTATTGGTCTACTCAGCCAGATCTTCAGGTACCATTTATAGCAAATACAATGAGTCGTGCTTGATTTGAAGCAATTCGCTGTGCTTTGCACTTTGCAAATAATGAGGACATTTTGCCTAGAACTCATCCCCAGTGTGATAGAGCTTTTAAAGTTCTTACATTGATCGAGCACTTCAATTGATGCTTCCAGGCCGTGAGAAATCCAAGCAAGCAACAGAGGATTGATGAGCACATGATAAAATATAAAGGTCAAAACATCATGAAGCAGTACATCAGGAACAAGCCTGTGAAATTGGGATTCAAGCTATGGTGCAGATGTGATGCTATCTTAGGCTACCTTTATCAGTTTGACATCTATACTAGACGAAAAACAGACACAGAACATGGTCTTGGAGAGAGTGTCATTGTTATGCTGACAAAACAACTAGAACAGCTATGCTGTCAGGTTTTCATCGACAATATTTTTAATTCTCCACTGCTGCAATACGAGATGTTGCAGAAGAAGATCTACCTTTGTGGCACAGTTCGTATGGACAGAAAAGATATGCCCAAAAACTTGAAAGCTGACAAAGAAATTAAACGAGGAGATGTGGATACTATGAGTGCAAATGGCGTCACATGTGTAAAATGGATGGACAATAGATCAGTGATACTGTTGTCAAATTTCCTTACATGCAAAAAGGATGATATGACGCATGTGCTGAGAAGGCAGGCAGGATGTGTAGAAAAGCTGCATATTCCATGTCCAACCATTGTTACCATTTAAAACAAGTACATGGGGGGTGTGGACCTGATGGATCAGAAGAAAGTGTCCTACGAGACAGACCGGAAGTCAAAAATAAAGTTTTATTTGAGGATTTTCTTTGACCTCTTAGATATTGCTGTAAACAACAGTCACTGCATTTATATACAAGCAAATGAAGAGAGGCACCCAGAGTACAAAGCGATTACACCACTGGAATATCGGCAGATGATAGCAAGGAGTCTGGTGGGTGGATACTCCAACAGACAAAGAAATGCTCCATCAGCGCCAGTCAGAAGTTCACGAAGTGTCCTTACAGCACCAAAGCCGACACATTCCATGATTAGAAGCGATAGACGCAAACAATGTGCTCAATGTGCCAAACATGGGAATGGAAATTGCAAGGACAGCCTCTGCGACACATGTAACGTGCACCTTTGTTACACAAAGACACGCAACTGCTTTGCTGACTATCATAGCCTGAACTGTTAGGCTATCACATATTGAGATTTTGCATCTTTGCATTTTGAGACAGTTACAGTACCTTGATGCATACATTTTTGGTTTTGGCCTACCATGAGGCTGTTAGCATATGTACATAAATACATGTTATTGTTGAAATTGTTTCGAGCAAGTATCTGAATAAATGTCAAAATAGTTTAAGAGTAGCAGAATTTGACTCAATTTATTATGACCTTCTTTAGCCACCTCCCGCCCGCCCTATAGTAAAATGACGGGCGCAAGGTGGTTCTCTCGTTCTGATAGGACGTCATATGACGTCCTTCCATTCTCACCGCGCATGCGCGGCTCAGGGAGCACGTAGCGCGGCAATCGCCGGTGCGCTGTGTCCTACTGACACAGCGGATCACGGAAAGAGCCGAAGATGTTGGCTCGGCCATGTGATCAGCTGTGTCCAATCACAGCTGATCACATGTAAACAGGGAAATGCCGGTTATTGGCATTTCTCTCCTCTCAAGCTGTCACGCTGACAGAGGAGAGGAGAGCCGGTAATCGGCTTTCTGCGGAGGGGACATGTACACTGATCATCAGGGCACTGATGACCAGTGTGCCATGATGATCAGTGTGGCCCCAGAAGTGCCACCTGTCAGTGTCCATCAGTGCCAGCAGTCAGTGCTCATCAGTGCCACGTGCCAGTGCCCATCAGTGCCACATCAATTCCACATATCAGTGCATACCAGTGCACATCAGTGCTACATATTAGTGCCCATCTGAGCTGCCTTTCAATGTCACCCATCAGTGCCACCTATCAATATCAATCAGTGCCACCTATCAGTGCCAGTCAGTGTCGCCTAACAGTGCGCATCAGTGCTGCCTATCAGTGCCACCTATCAGTGCCAGTCAGTGCCGCCGCCTATCAGTGCCAGTCAGTGCCGCCTATCAGTGCCATATATCCGTGTCATGTATCAGTGTTGCCTTTCAGTGCCCATCAGTGATGCCTGTCAATGCCCATCAGTGCAACCTACCAGTGACTCCTCATCAGTGCCCATCAGTGCCACCTATCAGTGTCCATCAGTGCAGCCTATCAGTGCCCATTAGCTCACAATCGTTAAGGAGAAAAATCACTTATTTACAAAATTGTATAACAAAAACTAAGAAAAAACGTTTTTTTTTTTCCAAAAATTTTCAGTGGTTTGAGAAAAAATAAAAATCCCAGAGGTGATTAAATACCACCAAAATAAAGCTTTATCTGTCTCAAAAAAATGATAAACATTTTCATACGGGTACAGTGTTGCATGACCGCGCAATTGTCATTCAAAGTGTGATAGCGCTGAAAGCTGGAAATTGGCCTGGGCAGAAAGGGGGTATAAGTGCACTGTAGGCAAGTGGTTAGAATTCATTGTAAAATAAATTTAAAGTTCCAGAAACAGACAATGCTTGCAACCTTGTCTCTCTTGAGGACCATAGGGACACATTTGTGTCCTGTGTCATAACTCCTCGCCCTAAAATGACACAAGTGTGGAAATGGTTTTATTTATTGTTCAAATACATTATTAAAGGGAAAAAATATAATTATTTTTATATTGATGATGATAATTTTATGGTCCTCAAAGGGCTTAGGCCTGTAGAGTGGGAATCAGTGGTTTGTTTTTGTGGCTGTCGCCGTTTGCAGGCAACACTATGGATGCTGCAGGTCATAATTTGACAAGCATATGGGTGCAGGTGTACAGCCCTGAACACAGACAGTGAGCATTCAGGGCCACTTCCCCATGCCTTAACAGCTGTCAGATTAAAACCTGTATTCATACAGCTGCTGTGTCCCCATAGTGTAACAGGTGGCTCCAGCTACATGAACAACCCCCTCATTCGTGCTGTACAGGCCAGAGGACTTGTGTGAATGGGGCATTTTTTACTTTTTTTTCCTCAGCTCATTAATTTCAATGGGCTGCCTAACGTGTGGGAACATGCAAAAATACTGCAGGCATATTATTGTAAAAGTGTATAAAAATTACTAAGTAACTTGTGAGCCACTGAGGTATACTAACAAATAAATATATATTAGATTGCTGGTTAATTTGCCCACTCTCATAAAATGTGCGTTTAACAACAATCAAATAATTAAATAATTACCGCGCTCTAATAGTAACAAAAAGTGCAAAGTGAAAATAAATATATAATATATGATGTCTGATATAAATAAATAATAAAATTAAAAATAAATTAATATAGTGATGACCTAATAACAAATCACTGAATGTGCAATCCTCATGCAAATGTGCAAATGTTCCATATATAAACCACAGAGAAATTCATAATGAGATTACTTAAAAACATAAATATAATTCATGATGTGATTAATAAAAAATAAATAATATAAATAATATATAATGTGGAAATGCAATGATACTGTCCCCAATGTGACTGTACAAATGGATATCCAGCCAAGGTAGATGTACTCTCCTTCAGTATAAAGATAAGTACTTTGCAATAGTGCTGTGAGCCTGTGTAGCTGCAGGGCTGTGAGGGAACTCCCTCCTTTAATCCACTCCTTAGTCCTCTGTCTTTATATTCCTTGTATATCTCATGCAAAAGAGAAATAAAAAATATGGTGCCTTATCCTAGAGATAAAAAACAGCTTTAATGTGCTTCCATAATGCACTCACATGTAATACAATTTGTTTGCGCTTTGAATGTGCCAATATCCGTGGCTTGCAGTTTAAAACAATGCGGAGGGTGTGTGTCCACACACCTTCAATACTCGCCGTATAGTGAATGGAATGCGCGGCGACGTTACTGCCCCTCCCCAACGCGTTGCGCTACAGGGATTTCGTAGCTTCGTCCCCCGGACGATCCATTTGTACAGTCACATTGGGGACAGTATCGTTGCATTTCCACATTATATATTATTTATATTAATTATTTTTTATTAATCATGAATTATATTTATGTTTTATAGTAATCTCATTATGAATTTCTCTGTGGTTTATATATATGGAACATTTGCACATTTGCATGAGGATTGCACATTCAGTGATTTGTTATTAGGTCATCACTATATTAATTTATTTTTAATTTTATTATTTATTTATATCAGACATTATATATTATATATTTATTTTCACTTTGCACTTTTTGTTACTATTAGAGCGCGGTAATTATTTAATTATTTGATTATTGTAAAAGTGTGTTGCACCTAACCGCACAGTAGTGTGGTGCCATGCGTGTTGGTGGCTGTGACTGCGTCTGTGTTTACTAGACATGTGGAGGTACAAATAAGTTTTCATAATGGTACCTGTGCACATCTGCAGAGGGCATTGCATTTCTTTGCTGTGCTGGAAAAACGTGCTCTTGCATGCGTTTCTGCACCTCAATTGTTGTGAACAAGCCCTAAGGGCCAGTTCACAGTATAGAAACACAGTCTAGATGTGTTCCAGATGCGTTTTTGCATGCACTTTTTGGATACATGTTTAGTGTGTTCCAGAGCATTTTGGATGCATTTTTAATGTGTTCCAGTGCATTTCGGATGCGTTTTTGACGTGTTCCAGTGCATTTTTATATGCATTGCAGTTAATTTTTTTCCCCTCTCTTTTTCTTAAATTTAATTAGGGAAATGTGCGGTTTAATGCATTCCAGGGCATTTTACCGCGTTCCAGTACAGTTCTAGGCATAAACAATGCAGCCTGTTCGACTTTTTTGGCAGCACCTGCAACGCACTGGAACCGCAAGCGCTGATGTGCACTATGACATTGACAACCATATAACCTTCTTTCTGTGCGTTTTGGATGCAGAAAAAGCAACTGAAACACATGTAGTGTGAACTGGCCCTAAAGGTTATTATAGGTAAGGGAACGGAACTGACCAGGAATTGTGAATTCAATCAGACTAGTGGTGAGATACAATCAGGAATCATATAATAATGCGAGATCTGAGCTGTAGGTGATAGGAAATGAGACACATTAACTTGATCAGTAAATAAATAGTTAAATATAAAAAGAGTGGGGCAGTGATACATAGATTTGCAAATGGAACAGGTGATGACAGGGGTGGGTGGGGGAGGGGTCAAGTTTTATAAGGAGAGAGGTTTAAGGGCTCGTTCACACTTGACTTTATTTCTAACTCTTGCCAAACGGCCCTATAGCATTTGACAGGTGTTTGGGAAGCGTTTACAACGCTCCTCAAATGCTCCCCAAACTCCCTATGTGCAGTTTTGAGGCATGTGATAAGCATTTGCCAAGCGTTAAAACTGCACCACAAATGCCTGTAATGGTTAAATGGTATTAACGCTCTGAAAACAGCTCGCAACCACACCGCAAACGTCTGCCAGGCATTTGAGGAGTGGCACCATAGACTTGAATGGGAGGCTTCAACTGCTCCTGACTTGACATGAGGCGCCAGTTTTGCCGTGACGCAATGCTAACACTTCAGTGTGAACAGCACTGTGTGCTGCCATGTGCAGGATTTTCATAGGCGTTTGAGAAGCGTACAAAACGCTTCCCAAACGCCTGTCTGACGCCTGCTGACAAAGCTAGTGTGAACGTAGCCTTAGAGAAGATAAACAAAGTTGCAATGAAATATAAACAGAAGGAAAATTGAAAGTTTCAAACTTGTCAGAAGAACAGGACACAGGTAACATTCACTCCCTTTCCACTTTCTAGTCCGTAGCCAAAATCTTAATTGATTGATCAATATTCCTGGCACTGACAGAACCCTGGAAATTGATCTCCATATTTTGGGCATTCACAAATATCAAGGAGCTTACAATCTAAGACCAGAAACTCAGACATATACTAGGCCCACTTAACCTAACATCATATCTTTGGAGTGTTGGCAGAAACACACCCGTGCAGAGAAAGCATGCAAACTGGGATGCAGACAGGTGCAACCATGACTGGGATTAGAACCCATGACCCAAGTGCTGTAAGTTCTAACCACTAAGCCACTGTAGGAGACAGAGTTTGAGCTGCAATGTAGAATAGTTATATTGTTTGAAAATAATGATAAAGCGAGCGCTGGTAAAATTATATAGACTGCTAAAATGGTATTACACAAGATAAATATAAATATAGGTATAGATATGAAGGTAGCAGCTAGCACTCAGGGTATTGGCAACAGTCCCAGAATAGAAATATGTTAAAGTAATAGTGCAGCGCTATAAATGCATGTTATCAATCATAAACGCATGTGAAATAAAAAAAAGTGCAAATAAGTGCAATAATGATGTAAACTGGTAAATGGTGCTAAAAAAAGTTCATATAATCATTCCTGAATAATGGAATGTCCTTCGTGTGAGAGTACCAACTCAGAGAGTGCCTATGAATGGCATGTGTGGTTTATACATGACGAACAGTAGTGCATGAACTCGTGAAAGGTAATCCACCCTTGGGACGGGTGTACGCTCACCAGAACAAAAGTATTAATGCGCATGGGTTATACACATCACACATCTGGGGGTGCAGCGGTATGCTGGCAGCTATGGAATAGTCATCCAGCTCCATCCATCCATTCCTGGGTGGGTGCCAAAATGGTCCTGGGGAGGAATTAGCTCAGCCACAGGAGCCAGAAAGGTGCTTAATAGTGTAGTACTTTATTTTAATGGTCACGAGTAACAATTTAAAATATCCACGTGGAGTAATAAAAATAATAGCAAAGTGAGTACCAAGATGGCGGCCGCTCCTCAATGGTGGCGGCGTGGCGTCAGCAATAGGGCTCCACCCAATGCGTTTCGTGTACCAACACGTCCTATTGGTGTGCCCCTGAGGACGTGTTGTACACAAAATGCATTGGGTGGAGCCCTATTGGTGACGTCACGCCACCGTCATTGAGGAGCGTCCGCCATCTTGATCCTCACTTTGCTATTATTTTTATTACTCCACGTGGATATTTTAAATTGTTACTCGTGACCATTGTAATAAAGTACTACACTATTAAGCACCTTTCTGGCTCCTGTGGCTGAGCTAATTCCTCCCCAGGACCATTTTGGCACCCACCCTGATGGATGGATGGAGCTGGATGACTATCCCATAGCTGCCAGCATACCGCTGCACCCCCAGATGTGTGGTGTGTATAACCCATGCGCATTG